TGAATGTTTATTTTCAACAGTTTGTTTTGTGTTAGCATTATGGGAAGTTGTTGAAATTAGGGGTGGCGCTTTACCGTTTCTTTACAGGTAACGCAGTAACGCATGCGTTACTCGTTACCAGTAACGCAACAACGCATGCGTTACTCGTTACCAGTAACGCAATAACGCATGCGTTACTCGTTACCAGTAACGCATAATATAGTAACGCTTTAGTCGCATTGTGTCCGGAAGGTGATAAAACAATACATTTTCGGTTGTTCGTCACTCATACGGTGATATTTGAAAGTGTTGCTTTACTCAGTAAAGTAACGCATCAGTAAAGAAAATGTGCCACCCCTAGTTGAAATGCCATTACGTTGTTTAGATGAATTTGATGTATTTATGGTAAGTAGCAGGGCTCCGTACGGTCCAGTCTTGTCCCAATTTTTGCGACCAAAATATTAGGAATGCCATAGCCAAAACGTGCATTGATGCAGAGGATCGATGACTGTGATGATGGCAATTAGATATTCTTATATTTTTGCATTTTTTTTCCAAATCAGAAAAACTTTGTTGTGTGTGTGCGTATGTTGTCTCTTGGGTTTGATTTTAGTCTGATAAATCTCACAATTAAAAGAAAAAGAAATAGTTCCCATGTACATTGATAGAAATCTGTTTTTCGGCTATTGTTATTAATCATTTCTTTCCACATTTAGTCAATCGATTTCGAGACTATATAAAGTCAGCTCAATAGCCTCTATGGATCGCGATATAAATTATTGAAAACGGAAGTGGGCATCTCGATAGGTTCCCTCGGTAGTGTACATGATTATTTTCATAAACTTAATTTTCTTTTAAAAGTGTTACAGATATAGAGAGCGAAAAACAAAGAAAAATAGCTGAATTTATATAGTATGAATGAATTTATGAGAATTCATCCTGAATTTATATGTGTAACGAAAAAATTTTCATGGTCCGAAGGGGTCCTGGTCCGGTCGCAAAAATTGGGACAAGACTGGGCCATACGGAGTCCTGCTACTTACCATAAATACATCAAATTCATCTAAACAACGTAATGGCATTTCAACAACTTCCCATAATGCTAACACAAAACAAACTGTTGAAAATAAACATTCATCCCCTGATTATGAGCGGATATCTTCATGTACTTCATCGCCATGAGGTGTGATCTGTAAATAAAAAAGTATTTCAATCCATATTACTCAATTAAATTAGAAAAAAACATACTTTCAATTGTAAAGTTCTTTTTCATGATCAAATTTTGCTTCACATTGATAATTTTGTTTTCTAAAAAAGCTTTGACTTGTTAATTCAGCTGTACGTTTTAATAATGCGGTATATTCACTATCTGGACGACTGGCTGCTCCAACTAATTTCTGAAAACAAAGGAGTCAATAAGAAAAAGAAGAATTTCAGTAATTTTATTGTACTTTGATAAAAACTCCGTTGTCTACTAACAAAATCGAATATATCATAGTCTTTTTGAATTTGATCAAAATTTTGAGTTCCAAAAATATCAATGTTTTTGCTCGTTTTCTAATATACATCGTTCGATAGAGGACATCGAACGGAGTAAGAAAAAGTTAGTTTTAACTTTTGAAAAGAAAATTTTCAGGGTGAAGTTTCGAAAAACGTTACAGAATCGATTTTGCTCAAAATTGCTACAGTTTGAATAAAATTCAAAGTTTGCATTTTGTCTTCACTTTCAAGTTTTGAAACTAACTTTTTTCAATTCAGCATTGAAAACTGAGTATAGAGAAGATGTTTGATCGATCTCAAACCTAAAAGCTGATTTAGCGTGCTTCACTTGAACTAACCCTCCAAAATAGCAGCAGGTCATTTTGCAAACCTATCGGGTTTGTTATGTGAATACATTTTGCGATTTCTCTTATCTCATTATTGTTGTTGTTTATTAGCAAGAGAAAATGTATCTTTTTTCATTTACAGAAAAACAAAAGTTCGGTATCAATGCTGACCGAACAGACGCGGGACGAGTGACTTTCGGGATGATAAAAAATAGGAGATACACAGATATTTCTTTTCTTTTCTATGTTGTGAGACTGATCAGTATTCGGCACGACAAATTACTGTTCGGAAGACAGTTAGTTAATGAAAGCGTCGCGATATGAAAAAAGAGCTTTTAAAAGACGTTTTATATTTCGAAAATTGTTCGAAAGATATCGAAATGAATCCCAATATTGGTTTTGGACGATGAACCAGCTGCTGAAAACATGTGTGTATTTTTGTGATAAATGTCTTAGTTGCAGGTCATTTTTTCTGAATCCAGCTCTTCGTATCGTTTGTTCTTTTTCAGATGGAGGAGAGGGTAATAAAGATTCCAAGAGTGAAAAAGAGCTAGAGTGTCGTGTAAAATAGAGAGTACGGACATGTATTTAGACCAATAGATATAAACACGGTCAAGAAATGTTACTAGAAAGTCAGAAGAAAGTATAGGTGTCGAAAGAAGTACAGCCATAGGCCTTTCACAGACAGAAAGAATAAAGACGAGCAATTCGTTCTTGTTGTTTGATGGTTAAATAAAAGAATATCGGAATGATCCACGTAAACCAGGGGTAAACATAAGCAAAAAACGTTTGTCGCTTCAGTTTTATCGAAAAGCTGCTAGATCTAGAAAACATCGCAGAAACGATTCGAAAATCTGAAGAAATTTTAGAACAGTGACTTTGTACAATGTTACCAGTTGCTAATTTACGAGTGGTGGCGTATCCTAAATAACGAAATATGGAAACAAAATTAATAGATGATGAATTGTAGTACAGTGATAAAAGAGGGACAGGGATTTGTGTGTATACCATCATTGCTACTGTTTTTTTTGTGCTTAACTCAATCATCCAATATGCACAGTATATTTCTAATCTATCGGGTACTCGTTGTGCACGAATTTGGAGATAGTGGCATGAGTAAATGAATGGTGTTTCCTGGCTATCGGATGGCGGACGTAGACCAAATGGTACGGAGAAGACCAGAGAACCGTCGTCGGCATAAAAATGATCATCATCAACGTCATAGAAAACTTGTTCATCCATATCTGACGTGTAAATAATGTAGATAGGGGCCGAAAGAACACTTCTTTGGGATAGACCCCATTCGACAGGAAAAACAACCGAATAAAAATGACGAAAAGAAATAAAAGCCGTTCGAAGCGACAGCCGATCTTTAAGCCAGAGCCAAAGGCTGACTGGCATTGCAAGCTTGGCAAGCTTCACAAGAAGTGCAGCATGCCAGACCTTGTCAAACGCAGAAAGAAAGTCGAGGAAAATAACTAAACTCGGTCGATTGGAAGATAAAGAAATTCGAAGTTGTTCCATTAATGATAAGACCCTGGTTTGAAGTCGAAGCTGGGACTGAAATCTAGATTGACTGGGCGGAATGATATTTAACTGTTTCATCCACTTGTACAAGTTTTTGTAGTAAATCCTCGCGTATACTTTTGTTGGTGCATTCATAATACAGATCGGTCGTAGTTCCTTGATTGACGATAATGATTCATTTTTCGAGTTGACAAAAATTCTGGATAGTTTTCCACAAGATGGAACACAGTGTCGAGAAAACAAGTTATTAAACAAAACCGTAAAAATAGAAGAAAACGATGTGGACAGCTGTTTTATATTCATATTAGAGGTTCCAGATGGATCTATTGGTCTTTTTGGATGAATACGAGTGATGGTGTCTAACACCTCTTGGTATGTACTGTAGATGGAAAGACGGTTACAGAAAACTTGTAACAATTGTTCGCCTTGCTTAGCATGGACACATTCGCGCAAGGCCACTAAATCATCGGCATACATAGAAATGTTTACTTTCGCAGAAGTGCAGAAAGAGAGGAGATCGTGAATAAAGAAATTGAAGGGAAAAGGAGAGAGGATGCTCCCTTGAGGTGTACCGAAAAGGCAGTCATATAGTGAAGAGTTATTTGAGACTTGAACGAAAAATTTTCTATTTTTGAAATAGGATTTTAATATATTGTCAAGTCGAGTTGGCATTGTTTTTCATTTAGTTTAAAAAGAAGGCCATTACGCCAAATTTTCTCAAAAGCTTTTTCGAAATCGTCGAACAGATCCGCTGTTCGTTTGCTTTTATTGAAAGATGTTTGCACCTGTTGAATTATATTTAAAATCTGATCCACTGTACACCTGCCTTTCCTGAAGCCGCTTTGTTCGAGAGGGATGATGTTATAAAAATTCATCCACGCGATTAGCCGTAATGCTACGAGTCGTTTACTGCCGCTTGGAATTCTTTATCATTCAGTCGAAAGAAAGAATTTGAAGGATGAAGAACCAGTCAGTCATTAGCCATCAAACTACGCCTTTTCCCTTGGGCTGAAAAAACATATACCTGTACGTATGTTCACATAGAAGTTAGATCTACTGTACATTGATCAGTATGCTTCTTCGATTTTCCTATGCTAATGTAATTTTTCAGTGTGCTCATCATCCAGAACTTGAAAATTATTGTTCATATCGTGTGGAAACATAAATGTCTTTATATCTGAGAATACTAACACGTCGCTTCATAGTTTTGCCAAGGAATCTAAAGGGCAGCTTTCATCCTATTTCGTGCGATTGGACTAGTGATCTTGAGCAACTAAAATTCTTTCGAAAACTACTGACATTTACAAAGCGTCAAACAAAGAGTTTACTGAAAAGACTTTTTGAGAAAATTCGACTTCAAAAGGAATTTCTATCACCAAAAATGGTAAAATCGATGGAAAATTTTTCAAAGTTTAACTGTGTGATTAATAGTTCTACCGGACTGATCTGGTTCCAACTCCGGTAAATCTGATGGTTGTTCCGTTGAAGACGGTTTTTGACTTCCTTGATGACATTTTTCTGATTGAACTGTTCTAGCTAGTTCTATACAGTTCAACTTATTGTGAAAGATTCATTTGAGAGAGCCACTATAGTGGCTCCTTCAAATGAAGTTTTTTTTGTTTTTGAATAGATTCATTTCCAATTTCAAGCAGCATGTACTAAAAATCGCATAAAAATCGGCAATTCATCGTGAAAACTCGTGCGCTTAATCGCGATTAATTGACGATTTTTTCTTTGTAATAACTTCCCATCTTAGGAAATACATATTTTTTTCTGATTTTTCATTGTTTATTATGATAACGTCACCCACCACTGGTCTTAGTACCAGCTGAAGTCGGAGCCTTTCCGACGAGTCGAGTTTAGACATTGCCCACATCGCAGCTGTTCAGTGGACTCTTCGACTTAAAGGTCTAAAGGATCATAGAGAAGACTTAACAACTCTGTTTTACTCTAAAATAAAAAGATGATCTAAACAGATGTGTCTTTCTCGTCGAAATCGCGTTTCTTATATTCTTATATGCATACGTTACTACAAAATAAAATGGTGAATAACAATAAACACTTAATCGCAATTAATTGCCGATTTTTAAAAAAAGAAAAATTATCAGAATCGTCAATTAAGCGCAGTTAATCTGCGATTTTTCAAGAATCGCGATTAATTGCTAAAAATACCTATAACGGTTCTACTCTCCTTTAAAATCTTATGAAATAAATAAGAAGAGAGCAATCTAATCTGCCGCCTCGTTATCTTTCACTCAACAACAAACTCTCCTCAATCTAATTCTCTCTCTCTCTGTTTTGTAGTGGACCATGTCTTTCTTTTCATGCTCTTTTATTATCAAAAGGACGAAAATGTAATTTGTCATTTTCGATTTTGTTTGATGAGTGATGTGTGTGCATGTAAGTAAAAAGTCAAAGAAGAAAACGAAAAGAAGAAGGAGGAAAAATAACAAGTCGTTAATCAAATATTTTACTCCATTGAGTTTAAAAGCATCATTCCATTGTGTAATTGATATAAGCAATAGAAGGTGGTAGTGTAAATCAATACTACATATACTATTATCGTTAACAAAAGTAGAACACAATATGCACGGTGTCGATAATCCAGCGGCAACAATCACTAATGACAAGGCATTACCAGCATCGCCTCCAACTGCACATCGTGCATCGCTCATCCCAAAAACTCAATCGGAAAAACCAACAACCGATAGTGAACCATCAACTCACAAACTTTCACCATCCATGTTCTTCTCTTCGACACTTCATTCTTTGGGTATAATATTTGGCGACATGTGAGTTATGTTTTCTGTAAACAGACTTTCCCTCTCCATTCTCTCTGTTTTTTAAGTGGGACAAGTCCTCTCTATGTTCTTGATACGATTTTTTCCAATAAGAAACAACATCCGAAAGAATATCAATGTATCGGAGCAGTTAGTCTTATCATTTGGAGTTTAATTCTTGTCGTTTCAATCAAATATGCAATATTCATTTTGAAAGCAGATAATAGGGGTGAAGGTTAGTAATGACAAAACTGTTTTTTCAACTGAACGTATGACAGATTTATTCCAGGCGGTATATTTGCTCTTTGTGCTTTACTTACTGGAAAATCCAGTCAATTGAAGAAGAGAGCCAAGAGTGTTGTTAATATTGTCTCGATTCTATCAGCATCGTTATTAATTGGTACGTTCTTAACTAAGAGGGAGAGTGCCGCACATCAATATCATACAGCCCCATTGACATTCTACTTCTGTCTCTAACTCTTTTTCTACAGGTGATGGTGCTTTGACTCCAGCTGTATCAGTTCTTTCAGCAGTCGAAGGATTAGCTTTGACTACTCCGAATCTACACAAATGGGTCGTTCCAATAACTGTCGCGATTATATTTTGTTTGTTTTTCGGACAACAATGGGGAACATCTAAAATAGGTAAAAGTAGATATACTCTGCCTCATTCTTCTGCATGGGTACACTGATAAAAATGCTTCATGTTAGGTAACACATTTGGTCCCATAATGTTTCTTTGGTTTGGTTCATTATTCTCAATTGGAATCTGGCGAATTCGATTGAGTCCAAGTATTCTCAAAGCATTTAATCCCTATCAAGCCATTATCTATTTGATACGCGAGAAGACAGCGGGCTTCTATCATATAGGTATGAAACATTCAACACTCGATGATATTATTGCTCGTCTTTTTTACAGGCGGAGTCTTCTTATCAGTAACTGGATGCGAAGCTCTATTCGCCGACTTGGGTAAAACTAAATCTTAACGTGTTTTCTTATATCTACTGTATTTTAATAACAAAGGACATTTTGGTATTTGGCCTGTTCGAGCCAGTTGGTTTTTTGTCGTTTTTCCTTCAGTTGTCATGAACTATTTGGGTCAAGGTGCGCTTCTTATACATCATCCGGAATCCGTTGAAAATCCGTATGTCGTCCAATCTGACTTTATCTCTCTCTCCTATCACTTCTCTCTGTTTGTGCAGATTCTATCGTTCTATACCGAAATGGGGCCATTGGCCAATGGTTATTCTAGCAACAATTGCAACAAGTAAGAATATTTACTTTTGTTCAATCTGTCCCCGTTACTTTCGTCAATTTTTGCGGATGTCTACTGGACTTTCAGCAATATTCAGCTCGAAAATCAACTCGATTATCAACATAAGTACTTGAATCAAAGTGAACTTCATTAACATTGGCCAATTCATTTTGCCAATCCTATCCAATATATTTCGCTAGCATATTCTCGTACTTCCACTAATAATTGACAAAAGTCTTATTGGTTCTTTTGCCAATCTTATCTTCACTCTTAGCTGACAAGAAAATCCTAATGAAGTGTATGATGTTATCCTTGATAGATATAGGACATATGAAACGAAAAATCTAAAATATATGAATTCTTTCGTTTTTCAGTCATTGCTTCTCAAGCAATTATCACCGGTTGTTTCTCTCTTCTGAGTCAAGCTGGTTTGCTCGGTTTTTGTCCACCACTCCATGTTCAACATACGAGCAAAACGATAATTGGGCAAATCTATGTACCAGTTTGTAGTATAATTTAATTCTTTATTCTAACAAGAAACAAGTCATATTTATTTTTTTTCTCATTCACAGACTATTAACTGGGTATTGATGATATTAACAATATTTGTCACAGTTTACTTTAAGAGTTCATCTCGTTTGACTAATGCCTATGGATTAACAGTGTGCAGTGATAGTGTGATTACCACTGTTCTCTATATGACTGTTCTTCGTTCAGTCTGGAAACAGTCTTGGATTTTAGTCATTCTCTTTGGCCTATTCTTGATTATTGATTGTTTATTTTGGTCGGCTAATGCGATCAAATTTATTGAAGGTTTGTATTCTCGATATAACCCTTATTTTCAATTATATTGAAAGTTTGTGTTTTCGATATAACTCTTATGTAATTCCCAAAATATTTTTAGGTGCATGGATTGCTATATTGATTGCTCTCATCTTTTTTGTGATTGGTTTCTCATGGTATTATGGTCAAAAACGTTTGAAAAACTATATGCGTATTCAATCGATAACAGCTCCTCTCAACGATCTTTCAATGCGTTTTGGCTTGAGAACACAACGTCAACCATCAATTTTTGTTGCTAATAATCCTCATTTTGATATTCAAAGTATGAGACAACATCCTTGAGAAATTTTTTCTTACAGTTATTATCTCGCTTTATTTGATAGACCTCTCCGATAGCGATGATGATGATCAGCTATCTCCTGTTTCTCCAATTCCAAGCCGTTTTGCCCTTTTAACCAATGTTCCTCTATCATCAGTTCAAAATCGAATTGAACTACATGATATGGGTGAGGAAACTCCTGTAAGCGTCACCCCTTGTGTCGGTTGTTTTCTCACCCATAACCGTCGACAGACGCCTCATGTTTTTGAAAATTATATTCAACTTCTTCATTCAATTCCTCAAAGCATTATATTTCTTCGAATTCAATATGCACGAGTACCGTTTGTGGCTAAAGAGAAACGTCTATTAATTAAATTGTATGGTGACATATATTATATCTCGGCCACATTCGGCTACGCGGAAACGAAGAAAAACTCTGTTTATGACGATATTCTTCTTCTAGCCAAAGAGCTCTATCAATTACCAATACCGGATAATGAAACAAAAATTACTTTTTTTATTTCCAACCAAACTATTGTCATTTCAAAGAAAGGTTGGCGTTCATGGATGACTCGATGGCCATTATATATTTATTCAATACAGAAAAGCCTGGTTCCTCGTGAAGCGATCAATATTCAAATGAATGCTAAAAATACCGTTCAAATTGGTATTATTGCTGAACTTTGAATGAATATAATCTTTTTAAAATTTAATATAAATCCTTTCATTTTCGAATCATTAAAAGAAAGTAAGTTTCACATCATTAGCATTCACTGAAGAGATTTATGAGCAGGTCAATGGCGTCTTATGTTTGACATATGATGAACCATGGTTCTACCATCACAATCTAAAAAACAAAAACGAAGTCAAAAATCTGGATGTCAAAACTTATCTCTGATCAACCCAAGGTCCGTGCATATTGTGTTCTACTTTTGTTAACGATAATAGTATATGTAGTATTGATTTACACTACCACCTTCTATTGCTTATATCAATTACACAATGGAATGATGCTTTTAAACTCAATGGAGTAAAATATTTGATTAACGACTTGTTATTTTTCCTCCTTCTTCTTTTCGTTTTCTTCTTTGACTTTTTACTTACATGCACACACATCACTCATCAAACAAAATCGAAAATGACAAATTACATTTTCGTCCTTTTGATAATAAAAGAGCATGAAAAGAAAGACATGGTCCACTACAAAACAGAGAGAGAGAGAATTAGATTGAGGAGAGTTTGTTGTTGAGTGAAAGATAACGAGGCGGCAGATTAGATTGCTCTCTTCTTATTTATTTCATAAGATTTTAAAGGAGAGTAAAACCGTTATCGCGTTCAACAGCACTCGAAAAGAGCTATCAATAGATATCTACAAGATCAGAGGTGCATCTTCAACTTTTCAAATAAGATTCAGTGTTCAATTCTCTATAAAACAACAAGTAGTGCTCATCATTCTGATTCACTTATCCCTTGACTGGAAAGGAATTGCTAGTATCACATTGTTTCTACAGAATAAAATAATTATCTTTCTTGTTCGCATTACATTCTGAAGAACATTCTCAACAAGCAGCAGCAGGCTAGTGCTACGACAGTTCTGATGACCATCGTTGCTCTTGCAAGGCAAGAGATAAATGAGGCACATTCTTAATTCTTAAATTCTTATTTCTAATCACTCGTATTATGTCTTGACGTGTACGTTTGTCTGCCCGCTAATAACTTGTGTCTACGCCCTAACACAGGAGGGGAACTATCTAAAATATGCTGTGAAGTTTTCTCTGATTTGACGTGTAAGGTTCCTAATATAATGTAATACTAAAAGGTTTTCACGAGACCCTCCAAAGATTCCAAGAGGTCTAGTACTATTTCTAAATTGAAGACAATGCTCATGCCTTCCTTCGGTCAGCGTTCGCAACCAGGGTACCTGGGAAATATTATGAACTTCTCTCATAGCGCACCGTCTCTACCGACGACCACAACGCTTGCGAATGGAATTTTTTATCTAAAACATCCAGAATACAATCAAAAAGAGTTTCCTTGGATATATTCGGATAGCGCAAATGAAGCTGTACAAAATGGTAATAAAAGGTTAATGTGAAGATACAGCATTTGAATAAATTGCTTGAGTCTTTTTTATGCACGATCGAACAACATTTAATGACAAGTTGCTGCAAGCTTCGTCCACCGCATTCTCTAGTTCACTTTATGATTTCAGATTCTTCGTTTTAACTTCTTGTTTAATAATATCCACACCAATTTAATAGCGTTAAAACCTGCACTGTAACCTGGCCAATCACATAATTCAATATCATATTGTTTGCACCATCGTCGAAATTGAGTACTACGATGCCATTTGACACCGTCAGAAACATACATAAATCCATTCAACGCTTCTATCTCTTCATCAACAATACGTATACGTATTGCGCTACAGCTGATGAAGCATTATCTGAAGATATAGACGCGTTAAATGAATTTATGTATGTTTCTGACGGTGTCAAATGGCATCGTAGTACTCAATTTCGAC